TAGTAGCGAAAGGGTTAAGGTCCTTCAGCTCGCGTTACCACAGTTATTAATGGAGTTATTAACACGTTGAATGCGGCGCCGATTTTGCTATAATTTCTACTCAGACGGCAGAGAGTAAGCACTAGATGCCGAGCGTTCAAGTATGCTGAAGAGTATGAACGGAAGGTTACTTTGTTTCACTTTGTCGTTTGGACTGTGAGAATAGTGCAGCCAATGTACAAATATACAAATTATAAACAGAAGATAACGGGGTGGGGAATGCCAGAAGGGTAAAACGGCGATCACCAAGAGACGATCAGTCAGAAAAAGTCACGGAAGTGAAGATTTACTTCAGCAGAGGGAATTTACTATTTACAATATATTAATTGTCGTTAACACGTTGTATGCCATGGGGGTCACCGGTGATCGCCACTCAATTTGGCGGTGGCGCCACGGGGGCCGCCACCGGTGACCGGCGCGCCCAGATTGATAGAAATATATATAATTTAAACAAATGTCAATATTTAGAAATTTTTATTACTACCATCGTTAATTCAAAGGTGACCTCCATCGCAATTAACATGTCAAACATAGTTATACATTGTAACTTATCTATTGCAGATAATATTTCAACATTATATGTATCGCGTAATAGAAAATTCATCATGGCGTCACGGGCAATCCCTGTAAAACTGGCGTGGCATTCAACGTGTTAATAATTTAACCCTTGACAGTGTCGGTCTCACGCACCGATATCGACCAAATGAAACGTTTGCTGTCAGTCCCTAGAATCCATGTCGTGTATTACACACTGCGCTGATTTCGAAAACGACAAGTAAACAGGTGCAGAATTAACACTCTGCACTCGAGAGGCGAGCTTCAGTCACCATTTCATAAAATTTGGAAGATCGATATTAATTAATATATCAAATTTAATGTAATGCAACAGTTTGCGAGGTATCAAAATCAAATAATACTACAATTCTATTATTATACTATTCTTTATTTATTGCTTAAAAAAGTATCGTCAGTTTTTTAGTGGAGAATCTTTGATTCTCTCTATCTTTGACTCTTCTCTAGCCAAAAAATCGTCGAGTGCAAAGGGTTAATATATCGATAATCTCAAGGACCAACTGGATTCTCAGAATACCTACCTTCCTCGATAGTACCGATGACGATGCGGACTCTTGGGTTCACTATCGGAGCCCTACTATCATGTGATTATCACTAATCTGGAAATTGTAACTTTGTGATTAAAATAAATTTTGTTAATAAAGATTGTCCAAATCTCTTGTTCTTCGAAATTTGTATCAATTTAGTCTTCCAGTTGTTACATCTTATTGAGGCAAGTGACATACACTCGTATAATTATACGTACTTACAACTTATTTCCCGTATACTATAAAATCGTAAATTTTTGTATAAAATATACCGTTTTTATGAAAAATTATGAAACATGTTTTAACTCGTATCTGAATTTATTTTATTTGTCTTATAGGATAAATACATATATAAATAGAATGGTCAATTGAAAGAAATAGCATAAAAGAATAGTTTAATGCTTTTCTTTTTAAATTTACTATAAATCAACTCTTCATTTTCTGATTATGATAGGTCTAAATGCACGTATTAAGGATTTAATATCAGTTGGATTCCTTAATAGGCTGCTCGAGTTATGAATAAACGTATATGAATACATATGCATACATAACAGATTATATTCGCACAAAATTTCTTCTACAATTTCTTCAACAACGAATTATATGTATATATGTATGCATGCATATATTTATGCACAGAGTGCGAAATTTCATTATAATTTAATATATATATATATATATGCACTGGTTACTATTACTGATACCATAAAGTAGTTTAGGAAAAGGTATATGATGTAATTATATTTCAGAATTTTTCCTAACTCTGAAATAAATAACCCACTCTGTATACATACACATATATATGTGCATACTTACAAACATATTATAGATGATGTATTATACTACACATACATAATACATTCAGGTGCAGACATTTGAAACACATCGTCAAAATAACTTCAATATTTATGAAAATAGAAAAAAGCATTTCAAATAAAAATTGTTTGATATAGAATACAACGTATTAATAAATTTTCATTTATTAATACTCAAGAATAATCTACATATTTCCGTATTGTAATCAGTGTCACAGCAAGGTGTAATATTTTCATACTTATACTATTCGAAGATGTGCAGAAATAAATGTACTTGCTATAAAATGGCAATTGCTATGAAAGTAGAAAAAGCAAATATTTTAAGACAGTGTTATTACAATTAACATACTTTTTTACTTAAATCCTGAAACTGAAAGATGAACTATGGTCAAATAATTATAGGTGTAAAATTCGATACAATTGGATGATTTGAAATTACTTGCAAGACTATATGCGGTATAAATGTGGAAATATACTATTTTATTTCAAGATTATAGCATATTCGAATTAGCCTCGATTCCGAAATTTACAAAGAAAACGCTTTATTATCAGATAGTACCGATCTCCATATCAAACAACTTTAATGATTAAATATATGTTTTTGTTTCTAGAACTTAGGTATTTTGGTGATGTGTTTTAATTGCCTTTTCTGCATGATATAAGTTTTATAATTTTCTACTTCATAATACATTGCATAAGTATTTACACATATAATACGATTCTTTGAATAGCAGAGCAAAATAACGTTATAATATTTTTAATTTAAATTACAAATAAAGTAAAGGTTTCAACGTTTGTTGCGATTTGCCGTTAGTTAACATTAGGGTGTTGTAAAATTAATGCAAATTGTATCCTGTTAATTTTACAATTATATATATATCGATAAAAAATAATTTTTTTAATTAGTACATTTTTCAGAGATACATCGGTATCTTTCGTAAGAATTAATACATTATTTTTCACCCTTAGTAGTACATATTAACAATTCTTACATAGAAAAATCGTTAAAAATTACAACTAACATACAGTTCCTATTTTACATTTGTAAAATAAGTTAGAGGGAGAAATACACTAAATGCAAAAATGAATTACCCTATAAAAGTTAAAACGAGTTTTCAAATACAGTAGTGCTCGCTTAAATTTGACTAAGTTGGGGACTAGTGTCGAAATTCTCGTAAAACGCATAAATATTTTATACTAGCAATTGTCTCGAGTTCCTTGATAAGGAAAGAAAATAGATATAGCGAAAGCAAACAAGAAAGAAACAGCGTATCAGTATCGTCAATGTCGAAAATAAAAATCTCTACGTTTTTCAATTTATTTTTATAATAATGGTACTAATGGATCAGTAAGATTTTTCTACCGAGAATGAGCACAAACGTGACACATATTCGACGAGTTTCACTAATAATAATTATTCTATAGTTAGGTATAAACTTAGCATAATTCATTTAATTTATGCCATATTTGAACTCAATTTCACCGGAAAGATCTTAACAATTTACAATTAAGGATACTATTATCGAAAAATAATGTGAAAAATTTAGAAATTTTTATTTTCATAATTGGGTGAATCATCGTAGTGGAAAAATTTCTTTAAAATTTTCTGGCTTTTGATCATTCATGCTCGATACGTTAGTTTTTAAATGTTTACTTTACTGTATGTATTCGCTGATTTTGTTAGAAGCCCTAGATTCCACTCAGCTAGGGAAACTGAGTAATAGGGGAATAACGGGGGTGCATGATTGAAATTTAGGCGAGAATTACTGTAATTACAGTGTTATTACATTTATCTTGTATGGAATATTTCGTATTTAACAACAAGATAGTAAACATTATTAAAATATTTGTTAATATTTTATGTAAATATATGTTATAACAATAACAACACATAAAATGCATATATGCAATATATCTTAGCATATTAATATACACCAAAATATCCATATTAATATATTATTAAATGTAACATGTTTTCATATTTAATTTTGTATATCTATCTTCAACCGAAACAAAGGAAACAAACTTGATCGTTGATTAAGAAGTACAAATTATGAAACACAATTTAAACTCGTTACAAGATAAAATTCGTCGCGTAGATTACAATTTATTTTAATACTGTTTATTGTGAATTACCCTAGTCAAGTATATTTACTTAAGAAAAAAATATGCAACTCTCGCAACTTTTTCTTTCATCGAATATCATATTGACTTTTGTATCGAATTTGCAAATCTCCTCGCTACAGCGAACAAAGAAAATAAACGCTAGTATTGTGCATTAATTTCACACCATCCTAATAAAGACTGGAAGTTCCATTTTCGAGCAAATCCATTTTCGATATATACATGTATTGTGTGTTTCATAGGATAGAATTATTATTAGAAATAATAAATATACTGGAGTAAGAAGCAGTTCGATGAATGTATAACTGTACAAATTAGTAACTTATTTTCTTCTTCCGTACCATTGTCATACTAATTACAGTATATAATACGATAACAGAGAAAAGTTTTCTAGTAACTTTAAGCCATTTTTATTTACGCGCACGTGTACAATTTCTTACGTATTCCATGCATTAACAAAACGTGATATTTTTATCATTAAATATACGTTTCAATTTCGAGAATAATTGAGAATCTGTGAATGAGATATTTATATATCGAGGTCCTTGTTCGTCACTCTTTGTTTAGCCTGTTCGCAAGGTCGGGGTGGATTTACATATGAATATTAATATCACTTTATTAAACTTTGTTTCCAACATTTATTTCATTTCGCCTTCCTTTTATCGTATTTCTTTTTACTTTTTAATTTTATATTATATCAGTAGTTAAATAATTTCCAATTTTATCGCGTTACAATGCTTTATCGCATTTGAAATTAACTATTTAATGCATTTAAGTTGAAACATTTCATTATGCGATATCAAAGAATCCTTTGAGCATTTAACAATTCTTCTGAAATGTTAATTATTAAAAATTTTAATTATTTAACTATAATTAAGTTAATTCCAACCAGGTTAAATTTTTATGCAACGAAAAATGCGCTTGCAGAAAACAATTTTGACAACCTCTCGATATCTAACATGTTACTCACACGTTAAAATCCACCCCGTAAGGAGTTATGTAACAAACCTTTCTAACGCTTATACGTGTACCATATTTGTATCATTCGATGACTACCATTTTGTTATACTCGTGCTAGTTGTACCAATGTTTGCTCCAATGAAGGGGTTTGTAGAGACAGCTGTATCGAACAAATAAATTGTATAGTAATTAAACAACATGTACTGAATATAGAAACATGATTATTATCGTAGATTAAGAGGTATAATGATTAACAGAATATAATTTTCACTAAATGATCGAATTTGAAACGTGTGATAGATATTTCTATGCGTTTAACAATTTAAGAAAATAAAATAGAATATTTTAATAATAATTTTAAAATGGTATTTCGAGTAATGGAAGTGCTAGGCACGTTATGTTTTGTATTTCAATTTTACAAGTTTCAGGATTATCTTTACCCTTTCGCAACGCTTAGCGTGTATATGCATATACTCTATATACTGTATGCATATACTGTACTTTTGCTGTATATAATGCCAATACTTTTGCTCAACACAAAGCAGTCCAATCTATTAACCCTTTGCACTCGAGAAGCGACTCTCAGTCGCCGTTTAATCAGATTCTAAAGATCGATGTTAATTAATATACCAAATTTAAAATTACCCAACGATGCGTGGAATATTTCTAGCGTTTTAAAAATATCGTTGACTTTATGACAGAAAACAAAGGATCAAGTCGAATATAGGATCGAATAAAGTGTTACAAACCGGCTTCTCCAAAGTATGCATATTTTGATTGGAAAGTTTCATCTATTAACACTAAAATTACCCATCTATAACACATAACTAGATACATTGATAATAACAAATGATAATGATTGTAACGGTAAGTAGAAGATAAATAAAAATGTATAATAACGTTTCTATCCAAGTAAAAGTAAAAATTAAGTTTTTCAAAAACAGCTAAATGTTTTCAGAAATTGTACAAATAAAATATCTGAAACGAGTCTTGCTAGTTTTAGTGTCAAATACTACAGAAGGGCTAACAGAGTGCAAGTGTTGCTAGGGTGAGTTTCTTAACAGTGCAAAGGACTAATGATGCATATAAGGGTTAATGACGTTGGAACAGGATGGTTCTTAACCCATATGGCATTTTAACGTCTATATTAACTACTAACATTTAAATAGCCTAGCAACAGAATTTAAATCACCCAATGAAATAATTTTTAAAGCAGAATATATCTTTTTTAATATCTTTCGATACCTGTACGAAGTCCCTTTTATGTAAGATATTTTCCGTTGTAACTTATTAATTATGCAGAGTGAAAAAAAAATACCTTAACACTAGAACAACCGATCTTAATGGGTACCTAAACATAGCGGGACACAGAAGATAGTAATTTTAATGGAACGATGAAGATACGTATATAATTGTGGGGGTAAATATATTTGTCCTTGTAGCGACCAAGTTCTCACCCTCGCCAATAGATGGATTCCTACTTGAAGGAGGTTCGAGGACTTTCTCACAAGTCCACGGCGAAGACTCGACTTTCCTTAAATAGAAGTTCCCGTGACACCTACTATGCGTTGCATGAGAGAAGTCATCTCGTTCGGTCGCGGGGCAAGAGGAGTATTCCACTTGCTCCGCCTATACTCTCGTTAGTAATACCCACTCTTCTATGACACTCCCAAAACTACTATCTCCAAGTTCGGTAACGTGATACGTTAACATAGGCGTAGATATCCGCGAAAGAAATCTCAGAGTTAACTTACAATGAATTGGAAGCACTACTGCGCTTTGTTATCCGCGAAAGAAATGTTATCTCAGAGTTAACTTATAATGAATTGGAAGCACTACTACGCTTTCGAGGATGAGTCTACGCCCTTGCATCTATTTTTTGCGTCTGTCTCACTCTGTCTCGTTGCTTCGTTCGCTTCCTTTGTCACATGGTGTTCTATGACCGGGCTAATAGGAAGGGATCAGTTCTACCAATAAGGGAAGCGTTTTACTCTACTTCTGCCATGACGTTAGAATGGTTGGGCTGGTGGGGATTCAGTCCTACAAGTTTCTCAGATGACTTCTCTCATGCAACGCATAATAAGTATCCCAGTGTCTAAGGCAGGGTCTGCTAAGCAAGCCTTACTGATGAGTCCGCTAGCAGGTCCTGGACGAAACGCACCCCTTCCTTTTCCCTTCGTCCTTCTACTTGCTACCCCATCTATAGCAACGACGACCACGGGGATACCACCAGACCAGCACTACAGGAACAACAGTCCATCATCAAACCGGACAAAGAGGACACCACCGCACTTAGCCAACCTCTTTCTTGGAGACGGAATATTGGGAGTGGGGTATCTACAGAAGATACTTCTATTCTTACTACAGTTCTCTACTGTTGCTGTATAGTCGATTTGGTGGGAAGGTATCCTCGGTGTGGTGGTGGTGCTAGAAGGAACAAAAGGAAAAGGAAGGGATGCGTTTCATCTTGGGCCTGTTAGTGGGACTCATCAGTGAGGCTACCTAGCAAGCCCTACCTCAGACGAGGATACTATTGGAAAGTTTGGAAGTTCTATATATAGGAAGCGGAGAGCTTACCGAAAACTTGCGAGAAAATCCTTGAACCTAGAACCTAGATGAACTTGGGTTCCTAGAATCCTTGAACCTAGAATCCATTTAGTGGCGAGTAGTTAACCCTTTGCACTCGACGATTTTTTGGCTAGAGAAGAGTAGAAAATCAAAGATTCTCTATTAAAAAACTGACGATACTTTTTTGAGCAGTAAATAAAGAATTTTATAATAATAGAATTGTAGAATTATTTGATTTCGATACCTTGCACACTGTTACATTACATTAAATTTGATATAATAATTAATATCGATCTTCCAAATTTTATGAAATGGAGACTGAGGGTCACCTCTCGAGTGCAAAGGGTTAATTACAGTTCTATGTCAATATGAGTCAACGCTAATTTTTGTAAAAGCAGGTATATGTTTTAAGTAATTTTAAAAAGGAAAATTCCGAGATCAGTCATTTTGACCGGATTGATAGTTCTAGTGTTAAACAAAAGTTGTTAGATTTGATAAATGAAAAATAATTGAAAAATCTTTCGTTTGGAAGAAAGAGACTGTTACCATTTCCACCCTTAAGGAACTCATCCCTATAGTATCTGATATTCTAAAATGTTGGAGCATTATTCAACACCTGATTATTTCAAGTTGGAATCTGCGATGGCTTTAAAAACTGATTATAATACTTTATTTGCTCCATTCCATATAATCAAATGCTAATTGAAATTATACAGCTGCTTACGAGATTATCGATCAAAATGGATAACGTATTACTCAATAAAAATTCTTTGGTTATAAACAAAGAAAAGGAATGTCTACTGAAAATCTACCTATATGCATATATTACACCTATTCGAGACAGAAAACTATTTTTCATGACTATTGTTCAAAACTATTCTTCATGGATATTATTGTGACAGTTCAATGGTGAGATTGATATGTATAGTTTAACTTAATTGAACTATATTGAAGAATTATTTACAAATTATTCGTTATATGAAAAAATATTCTAATGAAATGAAGTATAATTTAAAAAAAGAAGTTTGATGCAATTATCAGGTCGTTGCTAGTTTACATTTGTATATAATTTATTTTATTTAATAAATTCGATCTTTTTATATAAACATGTTATTTTATCTCATATCGCGAACCTTTTGAACTTGTAATATCTACAACTATACAGTTTGAAAAAATTTTCCAATATTATCGTACAAGAGCTTAAAAACTGGTAATTATCGAGATATTCTGTAAATAATTTTTAATGAAAACCAGTGGAAAAAGTAAGAATTTAAAAAATGGAAAATTTATTGTAATATCTGCTTAATTTTCAAATTCTAACGGCAAATATTTATATAATAAATGTTACTACTATTTTGAATAATTAGAGTTATAAAAATTACTATTTTGAATAATTAGAATTATTAATAATTCGAAAGAATAACATTTCATAATAATGAAAACATAATCATGGAAGTATGGTTCGCGTTTACGGTACAGCCAATAAAAATGTTATAAAAGTAAAGTGTTTATACACTACGCATATCATGAAAAGTTTGTTGTCTATTGCAATAAGTAATTACAGTATGTAAGCAACTTAAGATGGAATTCCTACGAATAATATGAATCATATTGTATGTCCAAACATCTAGTATGTCATCCGAAATTTAACCCTTTTGTAATCAGCAGAATACATATTTAATTATAATATATTATTTATTATTATTGTAAGATATTTTTAGGCATTATTAGGATACGATGGTCGAAGTGTTCCTGCAGGGAATTTAGAACTCGTTAGGTTTAGAGGATTCGTTAGGGTCTAGTTACCAGATGGGTCATAGGAGGTTGGGGCCAGGCCACGCGAGATGGCGTCGTACAACCTCGGCTTTTCTCGTCGTAACTCGAGGGTGAGGCAACCGCGGTCACCTTCGATGGTGACCCTTCGGAGGGCCTAACCCAGAAGGAGGAATCTTTCTACCCCTGAGCTTTACGTGAAGGAAGTTTTCTTCTTTCCTCCTCCGAGGGAGGCCCTTGCCTTTTAAACGGGCTTAAAAGGGTCTCTCCTGGAAGATAGGGTTTAGTTCGTCATTAGTTGCTTTTATTCATCAGTAGTTCGTGTTGAGAGTCTTGAGTTGTAGTTTAGTTGTCTTTTAGTTCGTTGAGTTCGTGAAGAGTTTTGAAAGAGTCTTTCAAAAGCGAGACTAGTAAGAATTGTTCGTCACTAATAGCAGTCTTTAAGAGTTAGAGCTGAGATTGAGTCAGATCTAGTCCCTAATTTGCGGAAATTTTAGAGTCGAAGTACTCTGCAGCGTAGTAGAGACTGTGTGACTCTACGTTATTATTATTAAATATTTCAACTACGTGTAATATGCCAAATTGTATTTTTCATTTCATGTGCCAAATTAAATTTTACGACAGAATAGTGTAATTCACGCCGGAATCGAATAACCGTGTAAGATTACAATACTAAAAAGAAAAAAATTGTCTTTTTCTTTCGTTTTTCCTGGCATAAATTTTTGTGACATATTTCTAATATTTTTGTAATTACCACATAATTTGAATAGCCTTTGCTTATGTAATAATCTCGAAACTTATACTCTAAAGCTGTTGTTA